GTATCAAACATACTTACAAGTTTCCTTTGATCTCTTCAATCTAGTCTTTCACATCTATATAATACAACTACTTTTGATTACACTTTCTTACAATAATAACCCTCATCCTTCGTTAAGAAATATTGCTCTCAAATATGAAAACTAGACGTATTTGAAAAAGTATTATTTTTTCTAATGGGTAAGAAAAACAAAATATTAGCTGTTTAGTACATGATTAAACTACTCAGTAAAGATTTAATTATGAAATGAAATTTTGATTGCATTATTTATATCTAAAACGCAAAGTCACTCATCGCCAAAATGTTAATTATGACGCAATCCCATGTTTTCTTGCTATTGTTTCGAAGTGCTATCCATGTTGGTCTACTAACCGGAGCAAACCGGTTGAAATAACCGGAAAGAAGTAGCTGTTTTGTGAGATGAAAACTCAAAAGTCAACTTTATGATCCACGTGAACCGCACATGCCGAGAGAAAGTTGAGTTGGTACCTTGTAAGAACGTTAAGCCCCATCATTATGGAAACACTACTTCTAATTTACATATCAATTTTTTTTTTTGTTTGGAAAATTACATATCAAATATTTGGGTATAATCATGAATCTTAAGATCTTTGACCAAAAAAAGAATCTAAAGATTTGTTCAATTGCTTGTCATGTTTTGAACACGATGATAAAACGTATAACAATTAAAAAGAAAATAGTAGAAGATCTTTAGTAAATGTTTTGAATTTTAGTTATATACTATATGTATTGAAATTCTTGGTTTAAGCATTGTTTTAAGTTTATGATTTGGCAAAATACCGAACCGGTGATTTGGAAAATTATTATTCTTTTACCAACTCCACTAAAAGAGATACGACCGTAAAAAATTAAATAAATTAATCAAATGTCGTTAGTTTGACTGGAAAAAAAAACCAAAAAAGCGAAGTCTAGAAATCATATGATCGAGTGATACTTGGGATGGGTTACATTTATGCTTTAGTCTAGAGAAATGTACAAGTTTCGATTGAATATTTTTATTGTTTTGATGAAAATTCATATGATAAATAAAAAGTTGTTTCGCCAAAAATTGAAAATCTGGGCTTTTGGTGGGCAACATATATATTCTTAAACAATAATACTAAACAGGCTTTATATAAATGGGCCTATAAAGATCCGACCCGACAAAAAAAACTAATGGGTGGTGATCCGATTACTGGTTTTCAAGAGAATCCTGAAATTCGTTGGCGCCAACAAAGAGGAACTTTCTGGAAAATTGCAAATTCGCCTTCAAAACATCTTCCTCAAGGTATGAAATTACCCAATTTCCTCAACATTATTCTGGGTTTTTCGTAAAGGTTGATTCCAATTTCACTTGAGATTCTCACTGATTTGATAGTAGCGAATATGTGA